CCAGGATCGAATCCTTGGAAAGGTAGTGGGTGTTTCTGGCAAATATAAAATCCTAGCTTGCGCAGTTCATGATGTCTGCCCTAGCCATGTGGCCCTAAATCCTCAAGCTCACAGGTCCTCCTACCCATATTGTTATGTTATCAAAATCAACATCCTTGCACACTGGGCATCCCCATGAGTGCTCAGTCCTCCTGGGCAGCAGCCACACCAAGGTACCTCTATTAGGAGTTGGTTAGAGTATCTCCTGTCTTTACCTTGAAGACAGCATAGACGTGCTTCACCAAGCTTAACTCTACGATCATGGAGTCGTGTAAGCATCAGAGATTCGCCATTATCCCCTGATCTAGTCAGTATAGTGTTGATTATATCAGCTCCGTCCACGCTTCTTTCTGTCTGCATTGGTGCATTGCTTGCCAGTTGGTAAAAATGGTAAATATAGGCAGTTATCACAATTTTTTTTTTTTTTTACAGACCCAAGTAATGAGAATCTTTAATTCTTTCGCATTCCGGTCCTTTAAGGTTGACTGTCCCATCTATAGTCGTCTCCCCAACTGGTTTTTTCCTTCCAGTTGGTGACCCCAAGTGAAGAGAATCACTGAAAGGACTGAATCCCACCGCTGCATGTGCAACCTGTCTCCACTTCCCTAACCATACATAATGAATCACTCTGTATCCAGTGTAGCTTTGTGACTCCAGTCACTAAAGTGCCACCGTTAATTTTATGTGCCATTTCTGTTAACGGTTTAACGTCAGATACTTTGCAGTATAAATAAAATATTCATCCAACAATTTAGAAACATATTATAAATATCCATGAATGCATGCACTCACACAGAAAAACCATAAATTAGTGAGTGCTTAGTAATTAAAAAACATTAAGTTTGAAAATGTTTCAAGTGGTATTCTAAAAAAAATATATCTGTGCTCAAAAATAATGATTATGTGTGTATAATAAGTGCTGTTGAAATTACAGTATAATTTGTTTGCCAACTCGGAGTATTTCTCAAAAATTATTAACATAATAATCTTCTTCTTCTTCTTCACTTCCTCTTTTACCGCTGTGGGTGTCGAGGGAGATATAAGGTTCTGTTTCTAGCTCTTCTGGCTGCCAAGACCATAGGCACATTGTGCTGTTGTAGAGTTTCTCTGATGTTATCCTTTCATCTTGTTCTTGGTCTACCTCTTCTTGCTCTACGTCCTTCTTCTCTTTCCATGTATGCTTTGTATGGTATGGTGTCACAAGGCATTCTCTCTAAGTGGGCAAACCATTTCACTTGCTGCCTTCGTATGTAATCCAGAATTGGTTCTGTGCCAACTTTTTCTCTTATGATCTCATTCCTGATCTTATCTCTTATGGTCACTCCTACAGCCCTTCTCAGACATCTCATTTCCGTAGTTACTAATTTTCTTTTATGGTTTGTTGTGAGTGACCATGTCTGGCACTGGTAGCACAGAGTTGGAATAAATATGCTTTAAATAATAATCAAATTAGTTATAAATAGAAAAAAATTGACAAAAAATATTGGTAATTAAAAACAAATTTTTTTATATAATTACCATACACTTAATTTAAAAAAAAAAAAAGCTCTAACATCCATTAAATTTTTTTGTTTGGTATCATCAATGACATTCTTTTTTCACACATCGGAAATATAGTCAATTTTTTGGGGGCAGACTCGGGATGCTTTAATGGACTACCGGGTGAAGAACTTCAAAGGATCAGAACTAACTTTAAAGTAAACAAATGTAAACATAACACAAAAATGTTTTATAATAACTCCAGTGTGTACAGCAAAAAGTTGCAACAAATGATAGCAACCATTAGAAGACTAAATTTGGGGAAATATAATAACGACAGCAACTAAAGTTTAAAAAAAAAAAGAGTACATCAAACTCAAAGAAGTACAGTGGTACCTCGGTATACGTTCCGTTTGGAATATGTTTAGCTCAGTATACGTCCTGTTTAAAAGCAAACAAATTGTACCTGCTATACAACCTCTGTTTGGAATATGATCTATGTGCTTGTATCAGCCAAAATTAGTCATGCTACCAAACACCAACTTTGTTTATCTCTCTCAAAGACAAAGCCACAGACAGAAGTCAATGATCTGAAAGAGAAGTAGTATCCCCCCCAACAAAGCCACAGACAGATGTCAATGACCTTGAAGAGAAGTATCACCCCTAACAAAGCCAAAGACAGATGTCAATGACCTTGAAGAGAAGTATCATCCCCAACAAAGCCACAGACAGACGTCAATGACATTGAAGAGAAGTATCACCCCAACAAAGCCACAGATGACAATGACCTTGAAGAGAAGTATCACCCGCAACAAAGCCACAGACAGATGTCAATGACCTTGAAGAGAAGTATCACCCCAACAAAGCCACAGATGACAATGACCTTGAAGAGAAGTATCACCCCCAACAAAGCCACAGACAGATGTCAATGACCTTGAAGAGAAGTATCACCCCCAACAAAGCCAAAGACAGATGTCAATGACCTTGAAGAGAAGTATCACCCCCAACAAAGCCAAAGACAGATGTCAATGACCTTGAAGAGAAGTATCACCCCCAACAAAGCCAAAGACAGATGTCAATGACCTTGAAGAGAAGTATCACCCCCAACAAAGCCAAAGACAGATGTCAATGACCTTGAAGAGAAGTATCACCCCCAACAAAGCCAAAGACAGATGTCAATGACCTTGAAGAGAAGTATCACCCCCAACAAAGCCAAAGACAGATGTCAATGACCTTGCAGAAAAAGTATCATCCCCAACAAAGCCACAGACAGATGTCAATGACCTTGCAGAAAAAGTATCATCCCCAACAAAGCCAAAGACAGATGTCAATGACCTTGCAGAAAAAGTATCATCCCCAACAAAGCAACAAAAAGATGTCAATGACCTTGCAGAACAGTATCATCCCCAACAAAGCCAAAGACAGATGTCAATGACCTTGCAGAAAAGTATCACCCCCAACAAAGCCAAAGACAGATGTCAATGACCTTGCAGAAAAGTATTATCCCCAAGAAAGCCACAGACAGAAGTCAATGATCTTAAAGAGAAGTATCACCCCCAACAAAGCCACAGACAGATGTCAATGACCTTGAAGAGAAGTATCACACCCAACAAAGCCACAGACAGATGTCAATGACCTTGAAGAGAAGTATCACCCCCAACAAAGCCACAGACAGATGTCAATGGCCTTGAAGAGAAGTATCACCCCCAACAAAGCCACAGACAGATGTCAATGACCTTGAAGAGAAGTATCACCCCCAACAAAGCCACAGACAGATGTCAATGACCTTGAAGAGAAGTATCACCCCCAACAAAGCCACAGACAGATGTCAATGACCTTGAAGAGAAGTATCACCCCCAACAAAGCCACAGACAGATGTCAATGACCTTGCAACAAAGCTGAATAACATTGTATGGAATAACAGACAATGTCATATTTCCAAAAATATCCTGAGAAGAAGGCAGAAGCAAAGTTCTTCGAACAGATTTTAGTCAACACCAAACCTGATGAGCCTTTCAAGTTGTGAACAGAGACAGAAAATTAAAGGTGAGAGAAAAAACACAAGAAATTCAGATTCCTAATGTCTTATTGGAAGGGAACTCTCCTTCCAAACAATAACATCTTCTCCTCCTCACTTCTCAGTACCATCCCAGTAGACAACTCGACTCATGCTTAGGAAGGTTACATCAGGTTAATTTTTCATTTATTTCATTTAACTGCTTTTGTATTTAATATTTTAGTATTGGGAAGTTGTCAGAGGTGAGTGCAAGTATGGAATAAGGAGGAGGATAGTGATAATTCTTCACATCTGTAATAAACGACATGTACATGAACCATGTACATGAGGCCAGATGGACAGACAACCGTGTGAGTTGTAATCGGCTGAGCTGCACGCTTGGGAGAATTGGTAGAACAAACTGCTTGCAGAAGAAATTTGGGGGAGAAGATTCGAGGACATTGTGATGGTGACACCTAGTATTGGACAGTTAGAGCGTAGCGTGTTATCGACAATAGTAGTGACTGATAGAGATGTGTTTTGGTTAGATCACATTTGTAATTGTTATGTACTGTGTTTGACGAAGTTGAACTCTTGTAGCAATGTTATTTGTTTAGGATTGTTGAATTAGATAACATAAGATTAGCTATGTAAAGTTGCTGGGTATTTGTTGTGGTGAAATTTTCTGCCCTCGCATATTCGGCAACTCACTCTGTGAGTGCCTCACAATCCTAGTGTCAAGCCCAGCGACAGTGAAAAAAGCCTGTTGAAAGAAGTGTGGGTTTATGCCCGGTGCATATCCAGGGGATGGGAAGGCATGAATGGTGATTTGTAAAGCCATCAAGGCTTGCTTTTCGGATAAGGGCACCTACACACTCTTAGGGCAAACTGACAGGGGTTTGATGATCTCTGCACATTAGAGATTTTTGTGTGTGCTCTAGGAGTGCTTGTGTTCGGTGTGTTTAGGGCAGATTTATCTATCACCAGCCTGTAACTTGAGCCACATGCCTTACAGCAGAAAAAGGTTGTTGACAGCAGTATACATTATTTTACCCACCGCCATCAATGTATAATATATAACGGATTAATCATTCTCCCTTTATTTCTTATGGGAAACTGCTAAGGTGCATGTCTTGTTTGGTATACATCCAAAGATCAGGAACAGGTTAAGGACATATACTGAGGTACCACTGTATTTTTCTGTTAAAACTCAACACCAAAGATAATTTTATAAACGTACACAAACAGCTTTAAAAAAGTCTTCAAAATAATGAAACAAGTTAAGAAAAAACAAAAAGAAGGAACAGAAAACAGACACTGAAAATGTTTGGTAATAATGAACACAAAGGTGCAAAAGAACAACTGGAACAATTATAACAACATGGTAAAACGAAGAAAGCAAATGTGAGAAGCAAAATGTGACAACCTCCAGGAAGCATGCAGCAAACTGGCATACCTGTTCAACAGGCAACAGGGGTGCCAACAGTTACAACTTTGTTTCCATGATTCCCTGTGTATTTGTGTTGGGGGTGGGGCTAAGGTTGTATACAGGAAGCTCAGAAATGTCTTCCTCTTCCTCTTCCTGTTCTAGATCTGACCCGACTAACATGTCAATGCCTGCCTCTAAGATATACAGGAACCTGAGAGTGACAAGAACAGACGTGTCAAAACAAGGACAGCGAGGACAGGTGGCAAACAAGGACAGGTATCAAACAAAGACAGCGAGAAGATGGCATGACAGTGGATAGATACAAGTTTGTGAGAATGGTCACACATACAGATGTTTAAAAAAAAAAAGACGACAGACAAAACAATAAAAACTTGCATGTGTCTAAGATTGCTTTGTGGTTGTAAATGTGTAAATTGCACTAATCAGTGACAGAACAATCAGAGTCTGGAATAAGTCAAAAAGAATTACCAACTGAAAACGAAGACAAGAATCTGCTTGAAAATAAAATGTATCCTGAGAATAAAAAGTAAAAAGTAAAGATCCCTTTCCACGCCTTTCAGGCATATGGGCAGAGCGTCCCATATTTTTACAGACCATCAGCACTCTGTGGGTAATGTGGTCAGCATTACGCCGGCTGTCTTTACTTTCCCAGGACAGCCCATCCTGGTACCCATTTTAGGCTGGGTCGACCTGCGACGTCCCATACCACGATAAAATTCCACGCAGCACACGCAGGTTTCGATCGCGGTATGCTGGCTTACGAGTCGGACTTGCAACGCCTTAGCCACGGACGCCGCCCTGAGAATAATACATGGGAAAAAAATTAAGGACAGTTACAAGACTGGGATATGTAAATGGCTAAGGGTCACTGGATATTTAGATGTCAGTGTAAAGTAAGCAGACAAACAGGCATGACATGCAGTTTTGTGAGCTGAATTGATATACCAGGTGAAAATATCAACTTGCGACCAAACACAAACACACAAAATCCAGAAGCAAAAATGCTTCATGCCAGATAAGATTAGACACTGCACTGGCAAATTACAGAAGCACAAATGAAAATCTGAGCTGAAGGAAATGGAGCAAATAATAAAATAAACAGGCTTGTGATAAAGCTGAGGCAAAATGTTACTCCAGCCTGGCCAAAAATCAGCAAAAACAAATATCTGCAAGAGCTGAATAATTTATTAAATATAAAAATAGGAGACCGATTTGGGTTTTTGGATACAAACTTAAATTAAAAGAGTATAAGAAAAATAGTGACCCATTTATTGTTAGGCATCTCCCTGTGGGTTCCAGGGCCCCATTTTAGGAGAAAACAGAACAGACCCACCCCAACAAGTATGTTGTGAAAGCAAATAATTAGGTATGCTTCCCTCAAAGTTAGATAATTCTTTTCAGAGGTGAGGAACCAACAGCCTGCATACAAATAAGCCAACAAAGTCTTGTTAACCAACATAGGACTGGTACTATTAACCGCCTGACGCTGATGAATATGTTGAGAAGGAAATCTGAGCGCCTATGGATGTGTCCGGAGTGCTGTGAAGATAATCTAACTCATAACTCACACAAATAAGCCAGATTTGTAAAATTAATGTGCATGCAAAACACAAGTTCTGGACCAAGGTCAAAGTCCAACTGAACACTAATAATAATAATAACAGCACTTTTCAGCAAAATGGTTTCCAAATAAAATTTTTACAAATGCAGTAAACCTACTGACATCCCTGAAGGTCGTTGACTATACTATGATAAGAGCTCAGCAGAAAAGTACTTAACTGGTTGGGTGGCTGGAGTTTAAAGCGTTATAGACTACTGGGAGATAAGGTGTTCAGTTAATGAAGGGCATCTCAACAATGAAGATGGCAGGAATGAACTACCAATCATTTTTGATTCTCTTTTCAGCCGTACATCTGGAGAGTCAGTTATTCATTAGCCAATAATATTTGTCCCCACATGCCGAAGCTGGTTTCAGTGAGCTCTGAGTTGAGAGAGGGGTATAATCTGGACAAATACTTATAAAATGTATCAATTCATTAACTGGTGGCTGTGCAGAATCGAAGGAACAAACTGGCACGACATTCACCAATGTGATGTTGAGGGAGAGAACTAGACGCATTCTGGCAAATCAAGGGCAGTAGCAGACTTAACTAGCAGTGACGCACTTCTCTTGCAGGAGGAAAGACAAGTTTAACAAATAACATTTAGATATTAGTGAAAACAAGAAAAGGTAAATCTGGTCAGAATGGAACAAAATCAACCAGCAGCTAGAGTGCGCTACAAGAGAACAGCAGGCAACAAGGCAAGAGGCCGAGCAAGAATGAGAGGGACAGAGGAAGTAAAAAGAGACACTACAGAAACATAATATGACATTAACACAAGCTTTGCAGCTAGCAAAAAATAGGAAGCTACATCTAACTGCAATTCATTATGACATAACAGAAGAAGAAGAAAGAAAACTCAATTAAAACTATTATCAGAGCCTAAGATAAGAGAATGAAATGCTGGCAGCATACAATGTATGTAACTTACAAGTCATGCACAAGAAGACAAAGTGCACTACAGACTAAGGAGACAGTAAGGCTGCAACAAAGCTCTGCAGGAAATGAGAAACTCCTACTTTGTCCTGTTCAACAATGTGATCACAGATCCAACTGCTTGGGCAGATTGTCTAGTATCTTCTGGAAACTGAAAACATATGTATACTCATAGAATTGTTCTTTGGCGGAAGCAAGTAGCTTTTTATTTACTTCTAGAAATTAAAAAAAAATGTTTATCATCTAAAAATGTTAAAAGTGATCAAAACAATGTTGACAGGAGTGGACCTGCTAGTAATTTCCTTTCCTTAGCATTCACCAGCCGTAATCTCCGGCGAAAAATTATGGCTATCCACCCACTTCTGGACTTTAGTATTGTTACAGAACTTGAGTTGTGCATGCACATCCATTTTACAGATCTGTTTTTTTTGTATGCAGACTGTTAGTCCCAAACCTATCAGGCAGATGCTCTCCGAATTTTTAGGAAAAACCCCTAATTAGTCAACTGTTATGACATGTTTGTTAGGGGTAAGTTCTATTCTGTCCCCCCCCCCCTCCCCAATGGGGCCCTGGAACCCACACAGGAATAGATCTGGTGTTAATTCATTACTTTTCCTAAATTGGAGCTGGTGCCTAGAATTTCTCTTTTTCGTGTTTTTTTTTTTACTTGTCAATAAAAGTACCGGCCATAACTTTGGATTTTTTTCTGAAAGCTGAGTCTCCTAGTCAACATTTATGTAGGTGAATTCACCTATTAATATAAGCTCACGTTCTACAAATAGACAAAAATCCCTAGTCCTCTATGTATATGTCACAACCCTGTGAGTACAGTCAGTGGCGGAATGTACCACACCGTAAGGTGTGCGTGTTGAGATGACACTTCAGGGTTGACACAAAGGTCAGGGCCGTGACTGGTCACCGTCTGTTCTGTTATTGCACGGCGAAACAAGCGCTCAGGATAAAGCGTTTGGCCACGGCAAGAAAGAGTGAACTGTGTTGTGAACAAATCCGCAACACGATTACCGCTTTTGGGACTGAGCTGGTGAACGGGGTCAAGAGACACGAGGTAGAGAGAACAGAGGACATTCGGTGTGCGACTGTCAGAGAGGAAGCAGACGTTTAGCAAGACAGTGATAGTGTATTAGAGTTAGGATATTTCTGTTAGTGACTGCATAGTTTATGTTCAGTGTTCTATTAGAGTTAGGATATTTCTGTTAGTGACTGCATAGTTTATGTTCAGTGTTCTGTTAGAATAGGATAGTTCTTGTGTAGGGTATTTATACATGTTCTGTGAGAGAATGTCTAACCTTGGCACTCTGACCCTGCACTAAGACAGAGGCTGTGACAGTTTGGTTGGTCAGTGTGTCAATAGTTAAGAGCGTATCTCGTGACCGTGTGGTTTGTACACCAGGAGATTGCTTGTGGGACGTAATGGGAGCGAGGCGACTGTAAAGCTCGCTCGGCCAGAGGGTCCAGGCAATAGGTGGCCACACAGCGGGAAGTCAACAGTCTATTGTATTACCTGTGCTTACAATAAAGATTGTCATGTGTGCTCTGTGTGCGTTCGGGTTCAGTGTGTGTTAAAGGTTAGTCTGTCTGTCATAGCCCCAGTTACGAGCCACGGACCAGCAAGGTCACCCAGAGGTCTGTGACAGTATATAAGCCCACATTCTCTATGTATAATAATCCTATGTTTTATAAAAACAGGCTACCATCCTACACAATTTTAATAATCCCATGGATTTATATAAAAATATCAGCAAATGAAAATATCCTGAACAATACAAAATAAACAACTAGGGACAGATGCTATCCCTCTATAAAAATTACAATAACAATTCAGCGGTACACACAGGGTGTTTCACTCGGAATATCAGCAGTATGTGTGTATATTTCCACTATTTCAAATTCCTGTCATGGTGTGTCCTTAACAAAATGTACCCTGGCTCTCAGGTCAACACAGCTTTAACTGGGCATTCAGAAATACTCTTGGAAAGTAAAGGTGCCTGGTATAATACTGACCCCATTATACATGGAAGGCCAGTTTATGTATCCAATTATGGGGTCAGTACCATATACTGAACATGTGGTCAGACATGGAGCAATAGCATCAGATAGCAGGGTGCTCACTAATCCTGGCAAACTAAGAGACTGCATAAGGCTGTGGTGATCAGCCATGTGGATGAGGAAAGAAAGGGGAGACTATTACACCTTGAAATTCTATAGGATCTAAGCATCAAGGAGAATAGGCTCATAAACAGCATCTTATCTCAAAAGCTGAGGTATTTTGGCCATGCTCAGCGTCACAACGGCTTGGAGAGAACTGTGATGGAAGGTACAGTTTCCAGAAAATTATGCCTCCCAGAAGTTGGATACAAGACATGAATTGGCTATGGGAGCCCATGGGTCTAGAGAAAGAGAGACTTCGAGGCATGCTGTGACGAGAGAGACATTCTGTAAAAGACTTGCTGACTAAACATGTGGCCAGACACAGAGACTGGCCGTCTTCTCACAGTTTGACTACATGTACAGATCACAATGAACAGCTATGGAACTAAAATATGTTTCATATTTCATTATCTGGGCACCAAGATGAAGAGGGGCTGGATGTCAGGACCAAAGTCTACTCTAACAAAAGACTTCTCTTCTCCCCAAGTAGGAGATCCCGGACAGACACTAGTCTGTGGGACATCCTGGATATACAGAACATCGTCACTGGAAAAATCAGCGACAGATGAAGAGAATACGTCGAAAAGTTATGATAGATGCCCTAAAATGGTATATCACCATTAAAACTGATTCAGAACACCAAGAACTGAGATCTAAGGACAGACATAAACACATATGCCAGTTGGCAAAGACACAGAAAAAGAATAGCGACTCTAAAAAAAACCGTACAAGACAGAAAAATATGCCGACTGTGATGTGTGTTGAATGGGAATTACTGTTTTGACAGTTTTCACAAAAGACTTTACACTTGCAAAATACTTTCCATCTTTTGAAGCACCCTGCATTCCTTTGATTGGTGTTTACTTACTGTTTAAAAAAAAAAGAAATAAAGAAAGAAATATGTATTGCATTATGCCCAACATTTGTTACTTTGCCAAGGGAGTGAGAAAATGTATTCTGAAACTTTACCAAATTTTTATGGCTGAAATACCTCGTGAGAAATCTCTGCAGGATGTATATAAAGTATTTCAACACAGATAAAGTGTTAGCTTCCTGATACTGACTTCAACGCGAATGGAGGTCGCTTAGTGCAACAATGCCTGGCATATGATACCACAATGTCCAGTTTGAGAATGGAGGTGGAGGCAGTCACTGCTACCTTCTGCTGGCTTGAGGACCAGCTGCGTACATATGTCGTAACTGTTACTGACATAAAGAATGCTGAGAAAGGTGGAGACCGGCATGCTCTGTGCAGAGTGGCAAGCATTGTAGATGGCAGGTAGATGGCATCTTTGGACATTTTCTCAAGGTCATGCAGGTGTGTTGGGAAATTAGGAAATGAACAGGCACAAACAGATCATTGCAGTCTGAGGAGAGTGGCGCTGCGAAGATTTACCGGGGATATGGCCTACGCTCAACACTCAAGCGAAAGGCAAGATGGACAGACAAACAGACAGTTACTGGTGCCATCGGAATTGGAACTCTTCGACTGCTGCTGAAGATGAGGACAGAGCATTTATGGAAGTGTTACGAATGTTGTGATGTCGATTCAAGAATTAAAGACTCCCTTCCCTGTGTGGTTTCCAGGGTTCTATTTTGAAAAACAAAGAACAGATCCACTGTCTACCTAACCTGCATTTGGTAGGAGGCAACAAGTCAGAGTGTATCTGCCTGAGGCAAGGAACCAACAGTCTGCATACAAGTAAGCTAGATCTGAAAATGGATGTGCATGCAAAACTCAAGTTCTGAATCAGGATCAACGTCCAGCAGTGGACAAACAACCAGAACTTTCCAACTGTGAGCGCTAAGAAGAAAACTTCACATACAAAATGAAGATGTGCAAACCAACGTGTTGACAGAATGTTTTTAAAATATGAGGAATACTGACACAGCTGTGAAATATGAAAAATAAGTGGACAAGTGAAATGATTGTATAAAACATGAAGTATAAGCAAAAAAGTGAAATGATTGCATAAAACATAAAGAACAAGTGGACAAGTGGAAATGATTGTATAAAACACAAAGAACTATCGGACAAATGAAATGACTGTATAAAACATGAAGAGTAAGTGGACAAGTGAAATGATTGTATAAAACACAAAGAACAAGTGGACAAGTGAAATGATTGTATAAAACATGAAGAATGCGCTGATAATTGAAATGATTGTATAAAACTAAGAACAAGTGGTCAAGTGAAATGATTGTATAAAACATGAAAAAAGGTGGACAAGTGAAAGGACTGTAAAAAACATAAAGAACAAATGGACAAGTGAAATGATTGTTTTAAACATGAAGAATAAGCGGACATGTGAAATGATTGTATTAAACATGAAGAATAAGCGGATATGTGAAATGATTGTATAAAACATAAAGAACAAGTGGACAAGGGAAATGATTGTATAAAACATGAAGAAAGGTGGACAGGGTGAAATTACTTTATAAAACATAAAGAATATGTGGACAAGTGAAATAACTAACAAAAAATAAAATATAAGTGGACAAATCAAATATTTGTAACACCTACTATGAGAAACTACTGGACGTAAATTTGCCTAGAAAAACTACACAACAGCCAGAGGCTGCTGGGGTTGGTTCTGCAACGTCCTGTAAAGGATACGCAACTAACCTAACCTACTATGAGAAACCCTGCCTTTGATATTTATTTACCCAATATTTGATCTAATGTATTCACAGATAACGAAATATAGTTTTAAGCCAGTTTATTTAACATATAAATTAAATTACCTTCAATAGAATACAGCTATAGATAATCTTATTCAGATTTTATAAGCTTTTAATAAGTTTGGTTTTGTCTGTTAGTTTGTCTGGGATAATTTTAATGTTACAATTTCATTTTATTTTAAATTATAGGTCAATGAATATGCTTTGTTTTTTATTTTTGGACCCTTCCAGGACTGAAGTCTGTAGAATGAATGCCTTATGCATGAAAATCAAACAGGCACAAATCTTTAGAAACCCTGTTCAACCACAGAAAAGAGTTATACTGGGACACCCTTACAGTTAAGAAGTAACCTATTGTCCAACTTGGGTAGTTGATTAGTGGGAAACTGTCAACATTGTTAATCAGTTTAACAAAAGAACACTGCTGCAGTATTTATACCATTGTAGAAGTCACATGACGATGCTGGAATAGTCAGAAATAAACACTGCTTCCCCTTGAAATCACCTTGAAGTGGGATGGCCAGGTTTTTAAAATTCACATCTGATAGAAAATATACCTTCGCTTATTTGGGGTTTGGAACTGTGACTTCATGATTTTTGGGCGCCAAATGAAACTAGGGAAAAAAAAGGCTGATAATTTCCTTACTTAACACAATTTTGTTATTAATTACAGGACAATAATTAACAGTTAGAAGTTTCAATGAGTATACGATTATGAGATCCAGATAAGGACATCAACCAGTAGCTTAAGTGATACAGTTTTTAACTTACATTTATGAAAAATCTGACAGAAAACAGCTGAATACTGAAAAATGCAGGGTGTTTAAGACTAAAATAGCAATAAGTCTCAGAAAGTTTACATTTGTAGTGTAAGAAGTTTAGAATTATAACTTATAATTTGACGGTACATCGCAGAAAGCTCAAAGATGAACAGTCTACAAAGTTTAAATTTATAACTGACAATATGATTTTTAAAAGTTCAAATGATGAAGAAATATTAACTAAAACAAGAAGCAGATACTAGTCCGCTTTACAGAACAACAATCGCAAACAATAAAATGAACGCTATGGCTAGAAAGCCTTCATCAGCGAACAGAAACAGACAATGGTGCAATGTAACAAAAGAAACAAGAAAGTCAACTCACAATACCACATCAGAGTTTAAAGGTGAGAAGTGTAAGAGGTTTTAAACTGTTACATACAATATGACCATACGCCACAGACAAAAAAAAAAGTAGCCAGAGAGGTTCAACATTTCTACTTACAATTTTCTAATTCCAGACTCTTTCTTCCTGCCAAGTTTCTCCTCTGGTTCTTTGTTAATAGGCCCATAAACCAAGGCCTCCTGCCCAGCATATGTAGACTTCCTGAAAATTTAAAGAATCATTTAAAATTCACTGTACCTTGACACACACAAAGAGAAGGGGCATTCACTCTGCCTGTATAACAGTTTTGCTGCAGGTTGACACTGTATATCATGCAGATATGGTGGGTACAATTATGTTTAAGCAAATTTTAGTTCACAAGATATTATCTGGGGTGAAAACAATAGACTCTCAAGAACTGTGACATCATCCTGACATCAGATAATTTCATAGCTGTGTCATATTCTGTTGAAAAGGGACCAAAACAACTTTTAGACAGATCAAAGAAAAGGAAATCAGTTAATTCTTTGAAGCGGGAGGGTTAACCTGGTCAACAAATGCCTGCAGAAGTCAGATGTGTCAGCCGAAAGGTGCAAATATCACATCCATGCTATCAATGGGCACAATGCATTTACATCTTTGGATAAACATTGAAGAAGAAATTAATTCTTTGTTCCACTTGTATTTTGTGATTACTTCCTTTGACATAGAAACGACCCTTTTGCCGGATAAGACATTTAGTGACTGACAATAATTTTGTAAACCCCCCCCCCCCCCCCCCCCCCCCCCCACCCACCCCCCCCCCCCCCCCCACAGTGATGTGACGTCATCTTAGAAGCACATGACTACGCTCCTGCCTACTACTATGTGCTCTTAGGGTTTGACCCCCTGAATGTTTATAAAAATTGCCAAAGTCTCAACAATTTCTTCTGCTTCACTTCTCTTCTAGTTTCTCATGGTCGAGTTTCAGAGAAGTATAAGAATGCATTTTCTTTCTTAGGAAATGTTTTAAATGTTTTAAAAATGATTTTTACAAGGAAACAAGGTTCAGATTCAGGTTTGTGTTCTATGTTCTTTGTTCTGTGTTGTTTTTCTGGATAATTCTGTAACTTTCTGACAGCTTGAGTGAGTGTCAAGAACCTAAATGTCTAGGGTTCAATTCCATTGGCTACGCTGTAGGCTAATGACAGAAAAACACTGCTGACAAACACACCCAAGCCAAACACTAGTTGCAACACACACACAATCTTTATTATCAAAAGAAACTATCTAGGTGGCCTACACCTCAATAGGGGTAGTGCTCCTTATTCTGAAACCAGGCCGCTCCTAACTTTAAAATCGCTTAGACGCGCCTTTCCAAGTTCATGAAATAAACTCTGAGTCACTACCACACTCCTGCAGTGCTAACTCAACCCGCTGTCTCCCAATGCCAAAGACGCTATGGCACACGCCCTGTGTGGGCTAGAGGTGTGTCGACAATTTTCATTTGTGTTAACAGCAGCACTGACATTATTGTAACATTATTCCTTGGCCATTCTCTGGCTCAATATCCAGATAATTTTTCCTTGTATGCTTTTTGTCAGTTGATCAGGTTCCATTCTTATAAAATGTCCAAACTTTTCTGTTGTCTCTCGATGACAGTGAACTATAATATTAATTCTTTGATATTTCTGACATCGATATTTCACACTTGGCCTCATCCGGAAACCCCAACTACCTCCTTCAAACATTTCATCACAACATACGAACATACGTCTGTGGGTCTGATTACCGTATCTTCTTCTCCATTTGCCCGGTAAAGGACAATTTGACATTCATGGTTTATGGCTAGCAGGCGATATCTGCACCTTTCGACCCAAAGCATCAGATTTAAGCAAAATCTGAAATTATTGCTTTTTACTATATGCTTGTAAAGGGACAATGGGTCTATTATCTCCCCCTACCCCCCACACAACAAACGGAGCCCTGGAATTTGCATGAGGATTATCCTGTTTTCAAACAGATCATGTCAACAGAAACACAGATCATGTCAACAGACACACAGATCATGTCAACAGAGACACAGATCAGGTCAACAGACACACAGTTCCTGTCAACAGACACACAGATCATTTCAACAGAGACACAGATCAGGTCAACAGACACACAGATCATGTCAACAGACACACAGATCATGTCAACAGACACACAGATCATTTCAACAGAGACACAGATCAGGTCAACAGACACACAGATCATGTCAACAGACACACAGATCATGTCAACAGACACACAGATCCCGTCAACAGACACACAGATCATGTCAACAGAAACACAGATCATGTCAACAGAGACACAGATTATGTCAACAGATACACAGATCCTGTCAACAGATACACAGATCCTGTCAACAGAAACACAGATCATGTCAACAGAAACACAGATATGTCAACAGAGACACAGATCATGTCAACAGATACACAGATCCTGTCAACAGAAACACAGATCATGTCAACAGAAACACAGATCATGTCAACAGAAACACAGATCAAGTCAACAGAGACACAGATCATGTCAACAGATACACAGATCAAGTCAACAGAGACACAGATCAAGTCAACAGACACACAGATCCTGTCAACAGGCACACAGATCATGTCAACAGACACACAGATCCTGTCAACAGACACACAGATCCTGTCAACAGACACACAGATCATGTCAACAGACACACAGATCATGTCAACAGACACAACCGAAACGGCTGTGGGAAATGTATTGAAACTGTACCCACAGAAGCAATGAAATAACAAAAATATATGTAAAGATAAAACGTGCATGCTGTAAGCAACAGTGAGATGTATAAATAAGATAGAAACAAAGCAACACCTAGCCACCATCACAACAATCACTGATATCAATACTGTTTACTGTTACATCAATAAAGATAACACTGCTGGGGGGAGAGATACAGAATTACAAAAGAAGAAGCAAAAAAAAAGAGGAAAACAAGTAGAAGGAGATGTAGAAAATGAAGACTGAAGAGAAGAGAGAAAAAAAAGGAGGAGAACAAGAGAAAGAGAAAAGAAGGGAAAAAAGGGAGGAAAAAATAAGATGACAATGAACTTGCAGGAGATAAAGAAGACAAAGAAGGAGAGACAGAAAGAAGAGAAAAAAAGAAGGCAATGAAGAAGAGGAAAAAGAAGAAGGATACACCTACAGAGGGATGTTAAAGCCTACAATCTTCTTCTTTGCTTTCATCAGCTGTGATCTCCAGTGGAAACATCTGCCAGTTTGTCCACCTCTAGGCTTTAGGCTTGTTCTAGAACCTGAGTTTGCATGCACATCTGTTTTACAGATCCGGCTTATCTGTATGCAGATCGTTGGTTTATTGCCTCTCATGCAGAGACACTCCAACTTTAAAGGAAGGCCCCAATTATTCTGACTCTCACGACATGCTTGTTGGGAGGCAGCCTGTTCTTGTTTTCCCCACAGTCAGGCCCTAGAACCCATACTGGGAACAGCCTCCAATGAATTACAAGGTATCTGCCAGCTATGATAAAAGTTCCCAATTACCCAAAAAATGGCTCATACATACAACTTCCACAGAGTGACACACAGCGACCCACTTACTCATCTTCTCCATCCTGAATATCCGGATTCACACCAGCATCATCACTGCTACAGCAAACCACAATCAAAGAAAATGCAGAAATCAATACTACAACAAGCAAAATAGAAAAAAGCAACAACATGCATACCAAAGCGCTAAGTAAACTGAGGTATGAAAATAAGACAACAAAATTAACACCAAGAGAGCACATTATGAGAGCACTTTTCTGTTATATGACCTGATCTGTTCATTGACCTGCCCATTTCAGCCCAAATTGTAAAAGGTGTGTATGTGAGCAGGTATTTGTATGCAGTTGTGTTTATATGTATCGATATGTATAAAACAATAAGTAGTGCAAGAAACAAAACAAAAAGGGAATAGCAGAGAAAGGCAAAAAAAAAAAAAAACTGGAGACAGAGTAAGAGAGAGAGAGAGAGAGAGAGAGAGAGACGAGAGAGAGAGAGAGAGAGAGAGAGAGAGAGAGAGAGAGAGAGAGAGAGAGAGAGAGAGAGAGAGAGAGAGAGAGAGAGAGCAAGAAACTACCCCCTACCCGGCTACCTCATGGAATAAGTATGTCGTAGAGGGTAACTATAAAGGGGTGTTTCCAGCAAACAAGAAGGTTGTGGGGCCTGGGGCCGGGTCCGGACTTTTTTTTTTCCCACAACGATTTTGACTCTCAGGTGAGCCAGCCTTAAACAGGTACCAGATAAGTCCTGGGAAGTAAAGGTGGCCAATATGATGACCACATAACCCATCAAGTGGTCTATTGGTCTATAAGATATAGATATGGCCATATATGCCTGATACCGCTGAAGGTGTGGAGAAGGGTTCTTCTCAGATGGAATGCATCCGAAAGACAAGGAACCAACAGTCTGCACTTAAATAAGTGAGATCTTTAAAACGAATGTGCTCGCTAAACTCAAGTTGTGGAACAAGACTAGAGTCTAGAAGCGGATGAACAATCAGAACTTTCTGCCAGAGTTTACAGCCTGTGAACACTAAGAAGAAGAATATCCAATAAATTAATGGCCCTATACTGTGAAGTAAATTATTGACCCACTACAATTATACAAATTTCTGACACTACATATATCACAGTAACTTCTGTGCACACAGCCAATAACACTCAATTGTCAACAAAATCAAGAAAAGCAAAATGAAGACTAACATGACACAGAGCGCTCAACTGATGCCAACACCAAGGTGCATAATAATTAAGCTTAACTCTTCGCCCTGAGAAGATTAAATCCAGTCATTTCTAGGATTGTCACAGATCCATAAATGTCGATATATGGCTATGTCTGCAGTGACCTGTTCTCAAGAAGAATAGTTAAATTCCTTTGGTCCTATTTGTGTCTGCACAGAGCTAAATAGTTCAGTATAAGAATACAGTCATTAAAAATAGCATTTATCGGGTTTCCTTATGACCACAATAGCTTTTAAAAGCCGAGCTGATGTCTGATTTTCTTGTAAACCTCAGTGATTGAGGTCAGGGGTTACGGTATGAGTCACTAGATGCAAACAGGTTTTCTCCAGGCTCCCAGAAATGTAGCTGATAAAATGATTTACTCTGTTCATGTTTATTGATTACATCTTTACATACTTTTATATATTTCAGAAAAATTTTCTAATGCAGATAAACTGTTTGTAAATGTATTTGTAACATGTGCAAAAAGGGTTTATTTTAAGGATTTTTTCCAGAAATTTCCATGGGTTCATGACCTTTTTTTAATTTAGTATTCTCAGGGTGAAAGGGTTGAAAGGTAACATTCAAGAAACAAAACCCAGTAGCGTAACAACAAGAAAATAAGGAGAAAAAAAAAAGACACAAAAAAAAAAACCAAATCAGGAACCATCACCTACCTGGGTTTGTACTGGGCCAATTCCTCCTCCACTTCAAACAGTCTAGTCTTCAGCTCATTTTTTTCCAGTAAAACCTGAAACAGCCAAAAAAAAAAAAAAAAAATGGAAGGAGAGAGTTACTATTGTGAAGCTCAGGGAGAGAGTTACTATTGTGGAGCTGAGGGAGAGAGTTACTATTGTGGAGCTCGGGGAGAGAGTTACTATTGTGAAGCTCAGGGAGAAAGTTACTATTGTGGAGCTCAGGGAAAGAATTACTACTGTGGAGCTCAGGGAGAGAGTTACTATTGTGGAGCTCAGGGAAAGAGTTACTATTGTGAAGCTCAGGGAGAGAGTTACTATTGTGGAGCTCAGGGAGAGAGTTACTATTGTGGAGCTCAGGGAGAGAGTTACTATTGTGGAGCTCAGGGAGAGAGTTACTATTGTGGAGCTCAGGGAGAGAGTTACTATTGTGGAGCTCAGGGAGAGAGTTACTATTGTGAAGCTCAGGGAGAAAGTTACTATTGTGGAGCTCAGGGAAAGAATTACTACTGTGGAGCTCAGGGAGAGAGTTACTATTGTGGAGCTCAGGGAGAGAGTTACTATTGTGGAGCTCAGGGAGAGAATTAAACAAGCTTCAGTGACACAAGAGGTGAGGACAAGATTCTGGGGCTGGAAAGAGAATATATATTAAGAAATCTTGATAAAAGTTTCATTAGAATGTTGAGAAGAAGAATACAAAACAATCATATGTAAACAAAAAGGAGAGGGGCTGCAGGAGATAAATTATAGAACAGCTCTGCATAAGTCTCTAAAATAGAATTGTTGTGGTGGGGGGCAGGGTGTCCTTATAACCTCAATGGCTTTTTAAAAGCCCAGGTAAGGTCAAATTTTCCTGTAAGCCTCAGTGATGGAGATCATGGGTCATCATGGCATGAGTCACCCGATACATTGTTTTTTTTCTTTGTTTAGCATAAGCAGTTTTATTTAGGGCCTATACTCCACTGGGGATAAAGAGCCAGCATTCAATGGTTGATGTTGTCATTATCAAGACAGCTACCTTTACTTTACCGAAGCAATTCACAGAAGGCATCCAACAGTCACTAGACACTAGGGAGTTTCAAAGCAGATTCTGCTAAAGCAGTGCTGGAGTAACTTCCTGAGATCACAGGACTGGGCATGTTGAAGTGAAGTACAGAGCCTGGCAGCAGATATCCCCTCCGTATGTCATCTGTAATGCCAAGGAAAGGGAATTACAGATTGGGTAAACCTGGCAGCCCAGGTCATGATAAAACAATCTCTGTCTTGAAAAGGTTCCCAATAAGTCCACACAAAATTACACGAGCAGTTTTGTGTGTGTGTGCACACGCATGTTTTTATATGATGCTAGACTCAGATTTTGAATACATCAAATAACAACAATATTAGTTCCCTGTGTGGGTTCCCGGGCCCCAATGAAAAGTTCTGGTTGATCATTCATTTCTAGACTTTGGTGGTCTTTTTCCAGAACTTGAGTTTTGCATGCAAATCTATTTTACAGATCCTTTACAGATCTTCTTATCTGTTGATTGTTGATTTCTTTCCTCCCAGGCAGATGTCCTCTGACTCTAAAGGAAACCACCCTAATTTGTCACCTCCAATGACATGCTTGTGTGAAGTGGATCTATTCATTCCCCCCCCCCCCCACTCAATAACTCAATGGTACCCCAGAGCCTACCCAAGGAAAGCAGAGAACCAATAGCTACAGTTATAAATTCTCACACTGTTGCCACACTGGACTCACCTGTTTCAGTTCCTCCAGAGAAAACCGAGACCTGTTAGGATCTTTCAGATCTATGACCACCTTGCCCTCAAGATCAAAACCTGGAGCCTGACTGCCTGCAGCAAATGGATGACCGCTTGTATCGGTGGGCGAACTAGTTCCCTTGGCTTTGCTCAGCTGCTGTTTGATTGACTCCTCATCTGTGCCCTTCATCTGCACATTGATATTGGGTACAACTTTCTAAGGAAAATTTATTAACTAATTTTTAAATGAGAAAAATCAAACATATTTCTTGCCCGTGAGGGTTCCAGGGCATCATTGTGGTGGAAAACAGACCTACTGCCCCCCTCCCCCACAATAAGCGTGTAGTAAAAGTCAACTAACAGGGGTGTTTCCTTCAGTGCATCTGCCTGAAAAGTTAGCTGTACATCCTTTACAGGTCACTGTAGAACCAACCTCATCATTTGTTGTCTGTTTTATGGTTTAACTAGGCAGCCACCATAGTGTAGCGGCTAGCAGATGTAAAAGGTTGTGGGTTTGGGTCTCGACCGAGCCGTACTTTTTTCAAAAATGAACTTGGCTCCAAGGTCCACCCAGCCTTGAGTGGGTACCAAGTGCGGTTCTGGAAAGTAAAGGTGGCCGGCGTGATGATGACCACATCACCCACCAAGTGCTGATTGGTCTATGAAATACAGGTCTAGCCCTATGTGCCTAATACGCCTGAAGGTGTAGAAAAGTGTCCGTTACTTTTGCTTTTACTAGGCAATTTTATGTTTAACAGTTTGCCACTGCTTGCTGAAAGGTTGGTTCTCGACACCCTTGTCAAAACCAGCATAAGCCAGTCTGCTGCCAAACTGCCGGCAGCTGGTAATCTAACAAGGTACCTCAGAATTACAAAACATATTCAAAATGCCTAAGTTACAGATGCCGAATCACAGATGCATAAAAGATGTTGAGGCTGCTTCTACTGTGACATAAAGATGTGTGCAAGCGGGATATGAACGATACTGGTAATGACGTAAACTCGTGAGAACACAATGTCATAGATGCATGGAAATGGGAAACTCAGGAAACATAAAGGGATAAAGGAGAAATGAATACAAACAGGTTTAGAGCTGAGCATCTGAGAAAAAGCATGTCAATGCATGTGGTGGCAGCAACAGTTGTGAAATCAAAGGCACTAATTGTGGAAGACATCTGTCGAAGAAAAATCTGGCCACAACAAAAAAAAACAGGATGTGTCTACTCCTTATACTGATCTAAAGTCACACAGAGCCAAAAATAGTTCAAAGAAATTATTTTTATTTGAATCTCTGCTCTTAAGACAACAGACACTCCCTTCTTCAGAAAAATAATTAAAAGACATTTAATCATCTACTGAAATTTCTTCACTATGCAGACTAGGGCTATTCAACTAGTGGCCCACGGTCGAAATCTGGCCGGCGTCTAGCAAGCGGCCCACAGATCACTGACAGTTGTATTGTATTAATGAACTTTCTATGTTGGGGCTCAGATCTCTAACCCATGACAATTCCCATTTTCAACATTTTGGCCCACGAGTAAACTGAGTAAAATCGCCGTGGTGTAGACAATACCTCATTTGACCTCACTGACCTATTTAGCAAGAAAGTACAGACTGCACAAGGAGCTGGTCCTGTCCTACTTAAGGTATACAAAAAAATTGTGTAATACACACTAGGATTGTTTTTTAAATCACTGCAATGATAGCTTTATTAGGCACTTTTTCATTTAACTGATACCATTATCTGACCACAAATAGGACCACTAAATGAAAACTGACCTCTGATCCATCTTCCTCTTCTATACTTCTTGTGGCTGCGATTGCTGCCTGTACAGCTGCCCGCTGTTCATCATACTTCTCCTGGTCAGAGATCAACTTCTTGATATGATCAACCTCATGGTCTTTGTCATGCAACTGTGTCTCTAGTTCTAGCTTCTCTTGTAGCAGAAACCTGGCCTGTTTCTTATGTGTGGAGTTCTTCAGCCTCAAATCAGCGTTAACTTTGGCAATACGCTGCAGCTGTGCTTGTAACTGGGGGACAAAAAATGTTTAGAAAAGAACTGCTTCATAATACCGAGCTCCCATGTGGGTTCCGAGTCCCCATTCTGAAGAAAAAAGAAAAAAAAAGACCGACTCCCTAACAAGCATTTCATACAAGGTGACTAACTGAGGGAATTTCCTCAAAAGTCGGAGTGCACCTGCCTGAGAGGCAAGGAACTAGCAGTCTGCCTACAAATAAGCCAGACCAAACTCCAGAAGTGGGCGAACAACCTGAACTTTGCGCTGGAGTTTTAAGGTGGTGAACGTTAAGAGAAAGAAGACACAGAGCTGTGGAGGTGTCACTCTGAGCCATTGATCTCTCTGTGGTCGAGGTTGTCACCTGTGTGGGTCTGGGGGGAGAATAGACCCACTGCTCTCAAACAGACATCTTGTTCAAGGCCTATAAATTAGGAGTTTGCTGTTGGATCGAAAGATGCAGATATTGCAGCCTAGCTGTAAACCACAATGCAATGTACCATTTGCGCTTTTAAGCTTGAATACAAAAGAAGATGACCCAGGCTGGTTATGTTTGCTCCCACGGGTGTCAGTTATTTCTTTGTCAAGAGACTCCCACCCACTTCCCAAATATTGCTTGCAAAGCTTATTCATCCGCTGCTGAAACACTATCTTTGTTCTAGTTATTCTATATGTATCTTGCCATGCACGATACATCTTTGTAACATACTCTGTTAGTGTGGCTCAATGCTAAGTTATGATGAGGTGAAAATTATAACAATGAAATCTACTGCGCAACTTATTTATCCCCTGCAGAAACGCTATCTTTGCTCTACTTATTCTACATGTATCTTGTCATTCAGGATACACATTTGTAACATACTCTCTTGGTGTAACTGTAAAAAAAAAATCTTTTTCTTCACCTTCAGGCCTTCTGGGCATATAGGGCTAGACCTATATTTTATAGCCAATCAGCACTGGTGGGTGATGTGGTCAGCATCACGCCGACTCTCTTAGTGATGATCAGCTTTAAATCACACCAAAGGGAAAATTATAACTAGTAACCAAATTCAAATGATTAATTTAGTTTAGCCCTCAAGGGACAGACTCTAGGATTTCAAATGACACATGTGCTGATCCCTGGGCTTACCACAGAAACGTATTTCAAGCTTTCAGAATCTTCTCACTGTGTATGTTATATACACTAGTTAGTCCTGCAGCAAATGTGATTATTTTTAGTGTAAATTACACTGATAAAGAAAAGATTATGATTTAACTCTTTAGGTACCATAAGGTTTAACTCGTTTAGTACCAAGAACTCACCATATGTTGATTGATTTCACTACACATAGAAAACATTTCTTTACTTTCCCTATCCCATTGTTCTGTTTTGTTAACTCGCTTATTTATCAGATGTTATTGAAACACCTTCTCTCCCACAGATGTATTTTTCAGCTCTATGAGACTAAAACATGTTTGTCTAGGATACAAATACTTTAGCATAGACAGCTTTGAATTCAACACTATCAGGGACTTAAAGAGTTAATGGGAGATTTGTGAAGTGAAGAAAATAAAAAACAATGATGAAAAATCATGAATTAATTACACTCAATGTGGCAATATGCACTGTAACCATTTGGGGAAGCCAGATTTCCTTAGTATGCTCTGATCAAATATAAAACATTAAGTGAACACATTCTGCTGTGGGGGGAAACCAAAGGGCAAAGTCATAATACTAGTTTCACTGACATCTCTTGGTTTGTCTATGTATGAATAACACATTTATAAGCTACTTCAGGACCAAAAATAATTCTTTAAAATGACATACAAAATAATTTCATTATAACATGTATGAATGAAGACTTACTGCATCACAATCAACTCCTTTCTGTCCTAGTTCCCTGTTCAGACTCTTCAGTTCTTCCCTCTGTTTATCCACTGTTTCTTTTAATTTGGTTAAAACTTTGATTTCTTCCTCCTCCGTTTCTGAAAACATTCAAAGGAAGTGATAACTAACACATGTCTGTGGTATTTCATATTCCTGTGCCCTCCATCCATGTGATGAATATTCATGAATCTGTGGCCATGTGGTCTTGACAGAAATAGTCCAGCTCTGTATTGTTCAGTAGCTAAGCATTTCATCAGCTTCTTACTATTTGCATCCACAGGCTGTAAACTTTGGCAGAGTTTGTTTGTTTGTTCTGAGCTGTTCGACAACTTCTCAAGTTTGATCTTGTTCCAGAACCTGAGTTTTGCGTGCCCAACTGTTTTACACATCTGGTTTATTTGTATGCAGTATGCTCCTCGCTTCTCAGACAGATGCCTATGGCTGAGGATATGAACCTATGTAACAGAATTCAACCTCCTGAATTTTTATAAAAATCTCATGAGACTCCCAATTTCTTCTGCTTTTTTTTTTCTTCCTTTATTTTCTTAGGGTAGAGTTTCACAGAATTATAACAATGTGTCTTTCTTTTTTCTGTTTAAACTTGGAGCACAACTAAAAGAGATGAAGCCTTATTACAAATTTTTGAAAAGAGTCTTTACAACGAATCTTTGAACCCATCAAAGATGTAAACAGCGGGGAATTGAGAATGAGAAGCAATAACGAAATTCATAATCTGTTCAAATCACCATTGATCCCTGGCATCATGAGATCTAATAGACTGAAATGGCTGGGGCATATTGAGAAAATGTCAGATGACAGAGAGGTAAAAAGTGTTTACACAAAAGAGCTGAGTGGTCGTAGACCAAGAAGATGATGGAGAGATAATGTCCAGACAGATCCGCAAACATTTGGTGTCACCAACTGGACAGAAAAGACTAACTAGAGAGATGAATGAAGAGAGGATTGGGTGTTATCTGCAGCAATGAACCTCAAGGGCTCACAGCGCTGAAGAAGAAGTGTCATTTTAATGCAATTTTGAAAATGGTCACATTTGAAAATTTTTATAGGATGAAAGGGTTAAACAGAAAAAAAAAAAAAAGAAAGAAACTCTACCTTGTCGTTTTGCTGCCAATTCTGCCACAGCTGCATATTTCTCATTGCGAGCATTCTCTTTGAGACGTTTGTTCTCCTCTTGTAACTTGTTGACAACACCAAGCAGGTCTTTCACTTCAGACTGCCAGTTCTCCTCTATCAGCTCCAACTCCTGGTAGATTGAACAACAGAATAGTAAATATTTATAATCCCAACACTAAGTGTATATTATGTCGGATGATTGGCTGGTTTGTGAATCCGTTGGAAGGCTGTATTTCAGTATTAGTTTTTAATCCAGTCCCTTTAGCAGCCGCAAAACTGTCACATACAGCTGGATCCAATTATCCGTGATTATTACATTTAAGATTTGTCTATTGTGACCTATTTACGAGACATACAGTTAATGCTTTTGGCAGTGTTTGTGCCTGCGCAACAATTAGATCAGGAAATGAATACACTAATTGAAAACAGCACTTAGGGGGGTTTTCCTTTAAACCAAAAAGCATTTCTAAAGCCAAGCTGACGTCAAATTTTTCCACAAGCCTCAGTGATAGAGATCATGGGATCATGGCACGAGTCACCAGACACACATATATTTTCTAAGCCCCAGGGAACGTATTCCATTTAATTCCTCACCGTTCATATTTACTGATCACTCCCTTCACATAAAATGTAAACAAATAAATCTTTTACGAATTTACAAGTTTTTGTTGTTGCTGGTATTCCAATGAGGTTATGCCCCCCCCCCTCCCTTTTTTTTATTTAGTGTTCGCAGAGCAAGAGGGCTAAGTGATCCAGTAATACACACACAAAATGTAGCCATTGGCCTTCATATATCCAGATTTATTTTATAAACGGGGCTTGTCAATCTTGGTTCTGGTACCAGACTATAACTTACCCTTTCTCTCTGCTATCCTCTGAAGTTTTTCTCCTTAAAAAACCCAACCAGTTGCATGTTCACAGTCTGTATGAATGCAGCCTCAATAGCTAAAGTATGTTTACACTCACTCTGACATAGTTGTGAATCAATAATTAAATTGATGAATGACTCATGCTCCCTAATCAATACACAATATCCCATCTTTGTTGTACTGCAGCTGTAGTAACTCACTTAACAGTCATAACCTAGATATAAAGTGTCCTAAAGAAACAGTCATAACCCAGACATAAAGTGTCTTACAGAAATTGTCATAGCCAGATATAAAGTGTCTTACAGAAACAGTCATAGCCCAGAAATAAAGTGTTTTACAGAAACAGTCATAACCCAGACATTAGGTGTCTTATAGAAGCAGTCATAACCCATATATAAAGTGTCTTACAGAGACAGTTATAGCTTAGATATAAAGTGTCTTACAGAAATAGTCATAACCCTGATATAAAGTGTCTTACAGAAACAGTCATAACCCATAAATAAAGTGTCTTACAGAAACAGCCATAACCCATACATTAAGTGTCTTACAGAAACAGTCATAACCCATACATAAAGTGTCTTACAGAGACAGTAATAGCCCAGATATAAAGTGTCTTAAATACAGAGACAGTCATAGCTCAGATATAAAGTGTCTTACAGAAACAGTCATAGCCCAGATATAAAGTGTCTTACAGAAGCAGTCATCACCCAGATATAAAGTGTCTTACAGAAACAGTCATCGCCCAGATATAAAGTGTCTTACAGAGATTACAACAACACTGACAGGGGAAAAAGTCAGTCAAGTAAAGAATCGTTACTACATACAGTACAGTAGTGGTACATCAGGCATAAGTTGCTTGACTCATATATTTATAGACCAATTAGCATTTGGTGGGGATATTGTCACCATCACACTAACTATCTTCAGTTCATATGACATTCTTCTTTTTCTGTTTAGCGTTAATTATCTGTAAACTACAGGAGAACGTACTGGTTGTTAGTCCACCTCTGGAATTTGGCCTTGTTTTGCATGCCCATTCATTTTACAGTTCTGGCTTATTTCTATGCAGACTGCTGGTTACTTGCCTCTCAGGCAGATGCACTCCGAATTGGAAGGAAACACTCTTAATTAGTCACCAGCTATGAGATGCTTTTTGGGGGCGGGGGGAATATCCATTCTTTGTTCTCTAAAAATGGAACCGGAAGCCAAATGGGGAGTTCCCAGGACGTGACCAAGTACCCAGTTTTGGATGGGTTGACCAAGACGTTTGGGGCGTCCAGCAGGTGGGCACCTAGCCATGACCTTCCTGTGGCAACAGTATAAAGACCAAAAAGAAATTTATCAATAACCAACGATCAGCTGCAGAAAGAAATATATTCAGAGAGAAATATAATGTTCAAGAGTATCTTCAACCTATGATGATAAATGTATGTGAGAGTTGGATGATGAGCAGACTAGATGATAAACATTAGTAACAGCATAAATGTGGTTTCTCAGGAAAGCATGAAAGATAACAGACAAACAGAATGATGCAGCCCTACAAGAAGCAGACTTAAAGTGGAAACTACTTGAACAAATGAATATAAAAACAGCCAAGATTTGTGAAGAATGTTATGACGAGAAGCAACCACAACAACTACCAACACAGAACACACATAAAAAGATCTGATGTGAAAGCAAGAGGTCGCCCTAGGAGATATGGACTGATGGCATTATTAAACACCTTCTACATGGACAGGGAATGACAATGGCCATTACGACACATCAAGCAATGGATGGTAAACTGTTCCTCTGCACGAAGCTTGAGGGTAAAAGTGGAAGCTGATGATGATTATATGAAGAGAAATAAACTTGAAAGAGGGAGCTGAGAGTATCACATTAGTAGAAAATTATGAAGCTTCTGTGATGGTCCTCTTATAGAACATCTCCATGGTAAAAGGTGAAAATAAAAGCAATAGAAGAGAGTTGAACACTTCATATATAAAGGTACTGTCAGTCCTAACATCTCCAAATGTACTGTCAGTCCTAACGTCTCCAAATGTACTGTCAGTCCTAACCTCTCCAAATGTACTGTCAGTCCTAACCTCTCCAAATGTACTGTCAGTCCTGAAACTCTGAGGATAAACTGTCAGTGGTAAACCTCCGATGATGTAGGTCCTAGTTCTGATGATACCCCAGTCCTGCAACTGACATGTTTGTCTCCTCCAAACAACTCAGTAATCAATACCTCTTCTGAGTGAGACAATATTGCAGTGGACTGTCACAACTAAGTTTCAGATCACATGTCATAGATACAATCATGTGAACAGCTTCCATATTAGATGCTATTTTACATGATGTGTAGTAAGATGGCAGTGATAAAAGAGTCAAACGATAGTAACACTGCACAATGTTATGATGCACTAGTTATCTTGATTTTAAATGTCACGAATTGTAAAAATAAAACACAAACTGATGTCATTTTTTAAAACAGTCGGGAAAATGATAACGATAACACACTGACATGCTTTATCATTACTGCCATCAATATCTTAGTCCTTGTCATTCCTCATAATGATGCCATAGCTCAAAGCCGCCCGGCAATCCAGTTGACCCTTTTTGGGATCACGACCCATGGGTTGGGAACTCGTGCATTATGGGTTACCTTATCCCCTTCGTTCTCTGATGCTAAAACAAAACCTCCTGGTATGGAGGTTATTATATGGACAAGTTATTTTTACATTCATATCATCATGTAGCAGGTCCTTTGTACAACGTCGCTCTCATCAATGTCTGCCTGAAAGAAACTCGGTCTCTGGCCAGTTCTCCCGCCTCATGTACTTTCATACTAAAGGAGTCACTTATAGAGATATCATGTGCCCATCTTCGTGTTGTACCATGCCTTCTGCTATAATTTTTTCCAATCCGTCGTGGGCTTGATATGACCAAAATATTTCAGATTCTGAGCCAGGATGCTGTTCATTAGCCAATCTTCCTTGATGTTCAGATCTTTCAAGATGTCAGTATTTCTCCTCTTCTTTGTCCAAGATATTCTGAGAATCTTTCTAAAACATTTCAGCTCAAAAGCCCCTATTTTCTTTCTTAAGGACTGAGAGATGGTCCACGACTCACATCCACATGTAGCCATACATTAATATACAGGATGAAAATGGTGAATGCAGGCAGGCAAGAAGTAGACAGCGATACAAGTGGGGAAAATATCCAAACTAACTGGATGAATAGCAAGGAAAACATCAAAACTAACTGGATGAATAGCAATCTGTAAGAGTGCAGTGTACAACCATAGTAAGAGGTAGTTGGGAGATTTAACACAGCCAATTTTTGTTGTAGAAACAACACCTGGTTGATTGATCAAGTGCCCTACTTAGCTTGTCTGTTGTTCTCAGTTAGTAACACACACCACAAATGTATATTTAAGATCAGAGCATTCATCAGGACATTCCCTATCTGGATTACAGGAACTCATTTTTGGGGGAGGGGAGAAGAGAAAGAATAGACCCACTGCCTCCCTTAATAAGCATGTCATAGAAGTCTCATCATCATCACAGGAACAATACCAAAGTCCAGAAGTAGAGGAAACAAACATAATTTTCTGCCTGCATTTACAGCTGATTAAAGCTTTAAAAAAAATCAGGCTAATAATTAATGGTACAAAGTACACAAATGTTTTAAAGAAATGACCATACAATAAATAAAATATCAAACATATACTCTGAAAACTAAATGAAAACATTAGTTTATATCTCATTATATTAGAACACTGAAGGCTAAACAGGTTATGTTTATGAAAATTACTGCTGCAACATTCAAGAGCACATCAAAACAATACAGCCTCTTCTTGTTTACTTCCAGTATTGGCAGTTATTTAATGTTACCGTTATGAAACTCCTTCAGTCCCAGATAATGCCATAGCTCCCCGTGTGGGTTCCATGGCTCCATTGTGGGGAAAACAAGGGTACTCCTGTCAAATCCGGACGAAGACTAAAAAGCCTTGGACGACATAGTCAGAGTTCTCTCCCTAGGCCGCACTGCAAACAGTGATCGGAAAAGCCAACGAAACAAAGAAGACAGTCACGTCGACATCAGGGCTGCCAATGCTTGGTTGTTTCCCCCAGATCTGGGTTTTTTTTCGACGCTGCAGGACAATTCTGGTTTTTTTTGGGTGTGTTTTGTTAGTTGGTTTTTGCCGATTTGTATGCTTTAATGATCGATAAATTTGCGTGGTTAGGGGTAGGGGTTAGGGCTAGGGAGTAGGATTAGGGTTAGGTTTAGCGTTAGATTTGACAATTTTGACGCCAGAGTTCCCTATAATCGCGCACAGTCCCATACACACACAAACAATCGAGGGCCTCTGGATGCTGGTCAAACGCACATTTCGCCAATGATTGGGGGCACCAGCCGCACGCTATTGGCGTCATATTTGGCAGAGTTTCAGTGGCGCCACTCCCACAAACATCAGATTGTCGGCCAGTATTTCGAAATCCTACGTCAACATTTTCACATCTAACCCTAACCCTACCCCTAACTCAAACCCAACAACCGCATGATGACAACACAACCATTCACGATGCCTCATGCAACCGTACGCAACCCTGCACGCAACCATATGATGACCACGCATCCCTTCACGATGCTTCACGCAACCGTACGCAGCCCTACACGCAACCGTAGGATGATAGGTAAGTGTGTCGTTTGTTTCGTTGGCTTTTCCGATCACTGTTTGGAGTGCGGCCAAGGGAGAGAACTCTGACTAAGTCGTCCAAGGCTTTTTATTCTTCGTCCGGATTTGACAGGAGAGCCGAATCAAGAATAGACCCACTGCCTACCCAAAAGCAGGATGTAAGAGTTGACTAAATGAGAGCTCCCTTCAAAGTTAAAGTACATCTGCCTGTGAGGCAAGGAACCAACAGTCTGCATGCAAATGAGTCATACCTGTGAAATGGATATGCACGCAACAATAAGTTTCTGGTACATGCGTGGACTGACTGACTGGTGTTAATTATCATTGATCATCTTCACCCAAGCAGGACCACACAACGAGCGACTAATGCCCATTGATATAAAGTGCTACGACTAGGATGAGAATTACCCCGGCGCAGATCCCAGAAACTCCCTTTAAACATTAATAGGTTATTCATAAGTTTATTTATTACACTTACCTGGTCGAATTTCGCTCTTTCCTGGGCCTTCTCAGTTTTTTCAGTTTCCAATTTCTCCACTTTGTATCGAAGCTGGTTAATCTCCTCAACCTCCTTTTCGTATCGAGAAGCTAACGTCTCCAAATGCTCTAGCGCCCGAATCACCCTGGGCATTAAGTCTGTGACAGAATCAGTCCCATAGTTGTGGATGAGTTTATCGAATTCATGGGCGATCCCTGCAGCCTGATCGTACACATCTGTCACGGAAATCACTTCAACTCCTTCACTTGCCATTATTCCAGCGCTAGCGAGACATCTTCTTGTATCCATTGACAGTGATGGTGAAATTCCATATCAGCAGTAGGGAAAATGGTGTGTGGAATGCGGATGTAAAACGGTTTAAAATAAACTTAAAATTGTTTAAAATCCACCGACATCGTTTTCCCCTTCCTTGTTGTCTTTCGTCTGCCTCGTGACGGGAGAGTTACCGTTCGTAGAAGTAATTACTTCCCTTATTTTATTTTTCTTGGATTATCACCAGATGAATGAATGGACTAATGAATAAATGGATGAATGAATGAATGAGTGAATGAAGAACTGACATAACTTCACTCGGGACCTTGCCACACATATTCTTCTCCTTTCCCAGCACCCAACCAAAATACCGGTTCAGCAGTATTATAAGTTCTCCCATTTCCCCTCAGCGCTAAAAACCGCCCAGAATCTTTGCTCACTCCCTGCTGAATCATCAGATGATGAAACGATACATAAACCATCGCTTAGTTAACGTTGTTAGCCACGTGTCATTTAAAATGATCTACTTTGGTTGGACATTCGGTTTAAGTATGTAGACAAGGCATGCACGCTGTGGAGGAAACGTTACCAACTAAGCCCTAATCCCAAAAAAGGAAAGCACGCCTTTACCATCCGGGCAGCTTCCTGAAAGTTAGTGAGCAGCTCTAAGACTTCACTAGCCACATCCTAAAGACAAACTAACAGCACAAGCAATACACCCAGTGGCGTAGAAAGGGGGTTGGGGTACGAGCACCCAGGGTGTCATCACTGGGGCAGGGTAAGGGGGTGTGATAAAATTGCTAAGACATGCGCGTTTAAAATACATTTTAAAAAAACATATGGGGTGGGGGTGAAAAGAATTTTTTCGCACCGGCTACCATCTAACCTTGCTACGCCACTGAATTGACCCACCCACACTGGACTAAAGGTTACTTAGTAACCATGTTATGGTGCCCCAGTATAACAGTGCTTTAGTATGGAATTATGCTTGATATGTTTGAGTACTTGGGTACCCTGATAACATCAGATGGAAGAGGTATTAAAAAAGTTAAATGTCGAATAGCTCAAACAAACAAAACATTTTACAAAATGAAGAATATTCTATGAAATCTTTCCTTGTCAACTGAGACGAGAGAGAGAATTCTTAAAAGCTAAATAAATCCTATCTTGATACTGAAAGTGAATCATGGACAGCTGCAGATTAGTGAAAGATTATTTGGAAACTGCAGAGATGTGGTTTTACAGACGAATGATGAGAATACCCTGGACAGATAGAAAAGTAATGAGGATGTCTTGCGAGAAATTGACTCATAAAGAGAACTGTTTGCCTACGTCAGAAAGAGACAATCTACTTTCTTTGGCTATGTGATGAGAAAGACAAAACTGGAGTATATCGTGACAGTAGAAAAGTTGAAAGGGAGGAGATGCTGCGGGAGACCGAGAGAAATGATGATGTACAATCGGCTCCCGGAGTTCACCCAAGCCTTTAGGAAATGGGTACCAGAGTTCACACTCTGAAGTAGAGTTAACACTCTGGGATAAATGGAGGAACGTCGCTGTAGCTACGGAGTTTCGTGCGGACGGCAACACAGGCGGACTGTTTTTTATCAGCTGGTGGCAGATCACTTATAGTTTATAACCGTGTCCAATGACGCTGGTTCACATCTCCCGACTTTACATTTTTAACTCTACCAGGACATTAAATTCCATAAACAAGTCTGACTGACTTTCTACCCACCAGGACATCACACACGCGATAAACACCCGATGACACAAAGTGCCACCATGTGGATGAGGATCACCGTGGAGTGGTCCCAGAAACCGCGTTCAGACAATTGGCCACATCTATGGCCTGCCTATATTGCGGCCCCTGGCAAAAGCCAGGGTGAAGCTTCAAATAACAAAACATTTCGTCCTAAAAAGGTCGAAACATATATATGACTATAAACAAGTATAATAATAATTGGACCCCAAAGATGCATACCAGAACTCATTACCTTGGCACTAACCTGGATTACAACAAACTTACTCTCTCTCTCTCTCTCTATATCTATATATATATATATATATATATATATATATATATATATATATATATATATATATATATATATATATATAACCCCAATCGAAACCTAAATTAGGAGGTCTTTCGGGCAAAAAGGGACAACGAAATCGAACCAAAAGACTAAAATGCTAGACCCAAGCAGGCAACCATTGGCAGCACGACACACTAGTAAGGACATCTCGCCATTTATAATGACACCCTGACTATCGTAACCAAAACATTTGGCACACAGAAACCAGAACACAGTTTAACCAAAGCTGCTTAATGGATATCTTTCTTGTTTTAGGCAGTTAGTGGTCTGACATGTTAACCACACGACCTCCCCAGCGGGCAGGATACAAGGATACGCTTGCCCACACAGCATGTATGGCATTATTTTACCATCGGCTTTTCTCTTTTGTAATGGTAACAATAACCCCAATCACGCACAGGTCCTGACAATGACTACGACTGACCCTGTTCCAGATCCCTGCGTGTTAAGTAATGGTGGTTAGTTCTTACAAAACAACACATCCCTACGTATAGCGCGTTTAAACCCCAATGCCGTCGAACTTTAAAGAGTCACTACACGCATTTTTGTTTTCAATTTGTGACAACAACAAAATTACATTTTCAATGTGTTCGTTTTTGTAAAGTTCGTAGAATAGATTACACGATGCAATGCGCATTATTCTTGGGTGCACTGGAGACACCTCTTGTGTAGCAATTAGATACCTTCTTGACTTCCTTACCATGAACTACAGGATCAAGATCTGGAGGGCTCGTGCATACCTAAAGGTAAGCTCAGATCTGAAGCACCCTTTGCACCATATGCTTTTCAAAAAAAAAAAGGGCAATAGGCTTAAAAGGGGCAAATCATGACTGGATAGGGCAGAGTATGACATCCTACAAATTTGCAGCCTTACAGACATCCATTCAGGTGAGGAATGGATACCAGTGTCTAAAGCGCCCAGTCTCACATTCTCCTGTGTCATGACGCTCGATATGAGTTGTCGGGAGCAGAATCCAGCTGCTGTAAATGCTGAGGTATGCGCGCTTATCAGTGTCAAGTCAGATGAAACAGATGTGGTGATCTTCACAGACGAGTCCGTTTTACGAGGACATAAGAATGCATGGGCATTTACATCTCACTCTTCAGGCAGAACAGTGCAAGGAGCCAGCGGTGCCTTCTCCATGACCACCAGCAGCATGACGATGGAAGTGATGGCTGTGACACAAGCTTTCCTGTGGCTAGAATCACAGGACTTTTCCCGCGTGTGTTCTGAGTGTCTCTTTGAGCATGATCCGGCGCATCATGGCAGACTGGTTACGCAGACAGTGGTTTGAGTCATTGCAAAACTCTACTGCGTGTGCAGTTACCTTCATATTTGTCCCAGGTCATGCAGGCGTTGTTGGTAATGAAAGAGGTGATAGACTGGCAGGTGCTGCATTAATTGAAGATGGCCGGCCCATGGATCACGCAGACATTGTCATTGCCCTTAGAGAGATAGGACGTTCTGAGGATTTTGGAGGCAACGTGTCCACATCACTGCTAAGAATACGCGAATTAGAGGTAAAGATCGACACAGCCAAGCATGAGAAGCAAACCGGACACACACGAAGTCTTGTCAGCCAACATAGGACTGGCACTATTAACCTCACGACGCTGATGAAAATGTTGAGAGGGGAATCTTAGCGCCTATGGATGTGTCCGGAGTGCTGTGAAGATAATCTAACTCATACCTCATAACTCAGATTACATACAAGATTTATGTCCCTCGTAAAAAAATTAGCGTTGAAAAGTTTATACTAAAGACACCACCCCATGTATTTTTTTAAGGATAAAATAAATGTTGTACCACAAAATAGCAATGTTTGACACATAGCAAGTGTACAAATGAATTAACAGATATCCCTTCAAACGACTTGAAAAAAAAAAAAATTGGTTTAACGTAACAAATATCTAGAAAACTCCTGCACGGACCAGCGTGAATCTTTGCACGTGACCGTAGATTTCCCGTGTCCTTGTGATTCTATAATTTATAATTGTAGCGCAAATGTCATTGTTTTTTAAATTTTTATTTTTATTTTTAAAGCGACAAATTTCCTGATACAGTAACTGTCACACGTGTAGACTTTGCATGGAAATCAGTTGACGTGTACAGCGATTTTTTTGATAACCTATTCTCCATTCAGTGAAAATCCTGAAACTCACAGGAGATAAGCTAGAGATGACCAGCTGCAAGTAAAATGCCTAAAAACGTGTGCAATCTGATGTTTTGAAAAGTTCTCGTTTACTCCAGTTACTGTGTGCATGCTGATTGTTTGCTGTTTCCCTCCCCCTCTCCATATACCGCAAATAAGGCAAAATAAAAATTAGATGTTTGTTTACATTAAACAAAACAAAACAAAAAATTATCAAAAGGACACACAATTATTAAGAGGTTGCAAGCCAAATTTCAACAACTTAAACGAAGTTACTGAGTTTGCATCCCACTAAACAGAAAATGCAGACAAGAAAGTCAAGCCGCTGGAGAGCAGGCTTTGATTTTCGAGAATTCTCTACAGGGGGATGCTATCATATACACAGATGGGTCTATAATTTGTCATGTAAAGAGCTCTTGGGCTTTTTAGCTCAGGTTGGAGTTAGAGTTGTGAAGCAAGATTCTGGTGCTGTTGCCTTGATCATAAGTAGTTTGGCTGTGACCAAAGCAATAACGTGGCTAGAGACACATACCTTTTCCCGTGCTTACGTTTTCAGTGACTCCATGAGTATGCTCAGGAAGAAAGACAAGGGCTGGATCCGAAAACAGTGGTTGAAGTCTTGTAAAGCGGTCGGGGCTGCCACATATTTCAAGTTTTATATTTGTGCCAGGGCACGCAGGCATGCAAGGAAATGAGCAAGCTGATCGCCTTGCAGGTAAAGCTACTGTAGAGGGCAGACAAGCCATGGACCATGCTGATATACTGAATGCTCTACAAGAAGTAA